CCAAGCAAAGAGAGCCCAGGGATCCTGGCTCCTCCCATCCTCGCTCAGCTCTCTTCCTTCTCAACCTCAATTCAGCTGGATGAGATTGTTTTGTTTCTAAGCAGTATCAGGACATCCAAACATTTAACACCCATATGTTCCCACTCAAAGTAGATGGACTGCATTCAAAAACTGAGAAGGTGGAAGAGATTGGATCCTTCCCATTTCAAGAAAACCAAGACATTCACCCCCTCCAGACTTCTGATGGGTCTGCCCTGCCCAAGGAACATCCAGATCTCATTTGGGGTGCTGTTTAGGTACGATCGCTCACAATGTAGTCCTGCAGCTCTGGAATTTCATGTATGGCTGACACAAGCGGAAGAAAAGATAACCAAGAAGCAGATGGGAACTAGGCTCATTCAGCAACAACCCAGAAAGACCTCCTGACAAGTCTTCTTGGGGGAACAACAGAATCCTGTCAAGGGCTATTTAACACTCAGGCTCTCATTCAGCCTTTATGCTTCCCTTCCGATGAAGCTTCGCTCTTCCAGATTGCCACTCCTCTAGGGCATGGATCCTCTCTGCTCTGGGACTGTACAGAAAATCAAGACCTCTAGGATCCCGGCCTACAACTAGTGCTCTTTGCTGATACAGGGAGTAAAACACTGACTGTACAGCTCTGTGGTCTGTACTTCATCTATCAAGAGAAAGAGAGAAACAAAAAGCTTTTGCAGTAGCTTCACTTCTCCAGGACTGCTTTGACTCCCATTCCTGAATCAGAAACACAGCAGCTTTGTATGCAGTGTGCTAGGATGATCCCAGCATCCTTTTTTTTTTGCCCAACACATGATGGATCCAATAGCCCTGAGAGGGAGATAAGAGTTGCAAGTATGTGGGTTGAGTAATCAGCATTCACATAACACAAGACCACCATCTGTTTGTGGGGAGCTTACAGCAGGAAGGAAGAGATCTCTAAAATCACTGATCTGGCATTCACACACTCCCTTTGGAGAGCAGACACTGAAGCTGGTCCACAAAGATGCTCCTGAACACGCTTTAACGAGGCCCCGGCGTGCTGACTCACCTGCCTCATGAGCTCCGGGTTATTCAGCATGTGGCTTATCTCCGGATTTCGCTCCATGAGCTGCTGCATCTGGGGATTGGCCATGATCATCTGTCTCATGAGGTCAGGGTTAGACATCATGTTCTGCACCAAGGGATTCTCCATGATCTGAGAAAGCATCTCTGGGTTGGACATCAGCTGCCGCTGCATCTGCTGCTGGAGCTCCATGAAGTTGGCAGAGCCCATCCCAAGGTTGCCCAGCCCAGTGATGCCGCCAAAGCCAGCTGGAGAGGGAACAACACACGGGGGGAGAGAGGCGTGAGTCAGTAACTGTCGGCAGCTGCAAAAAGAGGACAAGCACATCAGCTGAACTGCACCCCCGCTAATCTAGGGGTATCCTATATTCCTACGGCAGCCAGCTCCGAGGGAGAACACCCCCTACACACGCTTCCCTAAAGGCTCTGGCATTATACTGAGCAGGGAAACCGAGCTACGCTGGAGGAAGCAGCTCATGCAAAGCCCACAGCAAGCAGAGACAACCACAGGGGTCAAAAACCCCAACTCCTTGGTCTAATCCTAAGAAATCCTTCTTTCATGTCACACCTCCTCGCAGCCGTCACTTACACAGGATGGATGTAGCACTGTTAGGGCCTCCATCTCCAGGACCTCCCATGGTCCCTGACCCACTGCTCCGTCTGCTGCCGCTCCCTGCGCCAGAACGG